CAAAATGCCTAAATTAAAACGCCGATGAAATTTTTCACAGCATCTGTCGCACTATACTATGCCCTCTACCCCACGCCGAAAATAAATCGCCGCCGAAATGTCAAAAATCGTGAAGTGCCGAAATTTTGCAGCGCCGAAATTTTGTATATTTACAGTATCACATTTCGTTAATTTCTTTCTTTTTAGACGGGGTCCATGGACTAGAACACAATAACTTTTTTTAGAAAACTGCCATAAAGCAGTTTTTATTGCTATAATTTCTTTTGTTTTTTCTGTCACCAATCAATGGAATCAAGAGTCCATAAACAAGAGTATGCAACTGTGATCTCTTTTCTATGGGCCAGATGCGCGGCGCGCTGCCTTCATTACATCATTCAGCTGCAGTCCGCGCACTGCGGAAAATCAAACACTACGCTTTCCCTCTGGTTTGAAATGAATTTTCGTACGGAACTGGAGTTCACGCGCCAAAATTTAGAGATCGCGTAGGTACTGGAATGAATCGAGCAAAAACGGATGGGCTCGCACGAGAAATTGTGGGTTTGAGTGCATGCTTTCAGAGCGTGATGGAGGCAAGTCACGTAATGAAGGCAGCGCGCCGCGCACTGGCCCATAACCACAGTTGCATACTCTTGTTTATGCACTCTTGATGGAATGCCCTATATCATGTTAATTATAGCAATAAAAACTGCTTTATGACAGTTTTCTAAAAAAAGTTATTGTGTTCTAGTCCATGGACCCCGTCTAAAAAGTAAGAAATTAACGAAATGTGATAGCTGAAAATTAAAATTTCACACAAAACCTCACAATAATCACAACACTTGAAATGCTGCTTTCAACACTAAACTTGTACTGCACCAACAATTGGCAACATGGCATGCATGCATAGGAAAGAGGATCACGAGAGGAAAAGGTCTTCTACATATGGCTTTTCATTCTGTGTGTGATTATTGTGAGGTTTTGTGTGAAATTTTAATTTTCAGCTATCACATTTCGTTAATTTCTTACTTTTTAGACGGGGTCCATGGACTAGAACACAATAACTTTTTTTAGAAAACTGTCATAAAGCAGTTTTTATTGCTATAATTTCTTTTGTTTTTTCTGTCACCAACCAATGGAATGCCCTATACTATATCAATATGTAAATGATGGCGTTCACATCATGTCAATACCGGTATTATACGCATTGATGTGCAAGCCTTTTCTTGCAGAAAATGGCACAAGCATGTTCTTCTGCGGGGAAACATGTGAGCAGTGGTGGACCGTGGTGATACTTTTTTTTTATACGGAGGTCATTCTGTGCGTGTTGCTGTAGCAGAATTTCATTTCATAAAATTGTCTTGCCTTTCAGATATTTCAGATTTCCCCACCCTCTATCAGATTTATTTGAGAAATGTAACCAGGTGCGTGTCGCAGATGTTTTTGTTGATTCTGTGTTTATAATGGTATATAATCATGGGTTATCGTGATAAGGTCATCCTGCATCATATTGCACTGAAATCGTAACCCTGTTGATGTCGATACAACTTTTGGAAGTAGTTCAATGACTTCAAACTGTTAGTCCACGATTTTCTAAAACAACACAGCAAAGGAGGAACAATAAACATGTATTAAAATTAGTGGTGAAACGAATATTCGAATATTCGAACATTCGTTCGGTTTGTCACATTCGAATATTCGTTACGTCACATTCGAGTATTCGTTACGTCACTTCGAATGCAGTGCATGTACGTACATGCACGCCGAACACGGTACAGTGCAGTGCGTACAGCCTGCCTGTGACTTTGTACTGCATGTTTGCACATGTATGTCCATACTGGACTGCCAATGTTGTACATAACAGGTATGAACTTCAAAGTACCCTTACGTGGCAGTACATTTTACGTGGCACTACCGTTTGTCATACCTAATAATAAATTAGTATTGACAATATTCATCAAATGACTGAGAGGAGGGCATGTGATGTCATCTGTGTTACCAAAAGAATATTCGTTCATTCGTTCGTTAAGCTGAAGAATATTCGACTAGTAGGTTTTGACATTCGTTTTAAAATGTAAACAAATACATTGCCGAGTCCGACACCTCGTTCCAACAACTACACTGATCCTGAGGATAAAAGGGGCTAGGCTATGGTTGGAGGTACTGAGAGATAAACAAGGCACTCCGTAATAATAAAATCTTACACATCTTTTGGTGAGTATGAATGATATCCAGTCGAACCTCTTTAGGACGAACACCAAGGGACCGATGGTATTTATTCTGTGAGTTTGTCCTATTTTATAACCAGTGAATACAATTATTTCTCCATACCAATAGATTTCTTCTACAGCGAAAGATTCTAAGCCACACCAACTCATTGACTCGGCTCGTATGAAACAAATGCGTACAAACTTTCGTTCCACGTCATGAAGTGCGAAACTTCGCACGAACTTTCGCAACTTTGGACGCGAAACTTGCAGGGAACTCGAAATGAACAGTCGTACACACTTTCGTGAGATCGGGTCATGGCGTACGTGCATGCACTTGGCCCGCGCAAACTACGAAAATGTACAGAACGCAAAGTTCGTGCAAAAATTCGTACACACTTTCGCAAGGACTGTCGCGAAACTTCGTTCGAATTTTCGTTTTGCAGAACCTCTCTACTGAACGTTTCTTTAGCAACATGACGGCAACTGAAACAGCAACAGAGAAAGTACGATACATGTACAGCACATTCTTGCAGGTACTACAAACAGATTGCAGATCGTAATTCTTGCTTTGGCGGCACGAAACTTCATTTGGGGCAGTGCAATCTCGGCGGAACTCACAAATAATAAATCAAACGGCCCAGACTCGAGTAAACAAATCCAATCATACAAGTACGAGATCTTCACGAGACGAGACTGCACCCTTTGACTTGTTTCGTATGAAGCAAACAAGTTTACTGAACCTCTCCACAATGGAGATTTTCCCTGATCTGCGAATTTATTTTGCAAACTCGGTCAATGTGTCCTTGAACCTTTCCCTCCAGATTGGGAACTGCCAACGATAGTATGCCACTGACCAGTGCCTTACTGGTAACGTACCAATGTACAATGAATATGAGTATTTCGACAACACATCTAACATATGCCTTACCGTCAAGAAGGTGAACTTGCGTTCTTCGCACACTGTAGACAAGGGCAAAGAGATAAAAATGGATCTAAATCCGAATAAAATCAGCACACGTTTCCGTAAATGAAAGGGTGAGCATAAGCAAATCATTTAATGAATCGAAGGAAACCGGTCAACTCAGAGATCACCTGTAATCGAGAATTCCGTAAAAGGAGGCCTCGGCAGCGGAAAAGCTAAATTAAATTTAGAAAAGAGATCCTGTCAGCTTTCCCATTATTTATTGCATTCCGCCCAAAATGAGCACACTTTTCGTAAATGAAAGAGTCAACACACGCAAAAGAATCAAAGGGAACTGGTCAACTCACCTGTCATTGAGTAATATTCCGCGAAAGGAGGTCTCAGCAGCGCCGAAACGAAATAAGCCAGGCCAGGAGACCAAATATCCGAAACAGCTCATACAAGAAGCAGTTCCAAAGGAGGAAGTTCCTCGCGCATGCACATCCGAACACGGACTGCACTGCAACACCGTGCACAGCACGCGGCTACCACCCGTTGGTAGATCTAATACCGAGCACCTTACGTAGAGACTTACGTAGCCTAAGTGAAATACCGAGCACCTTACGTAGAAACTTACGTAGCATAGCGGTGTCGTTTTTCTTGCCATGTGAACCAGGGAGTCGTCAAATACCCCCTTTGTATTTGACGACTCCCTGATGTGAACACAATAATAGAAAAGCTGACAGGATCGCTTTTCTAAATGATGGCTTTCACATCACATGATATCAAGAGGTTTATGTACTCTTGATCATATCAATACCGTATTATACCAAGAGTACATAATGGGGGTTATGTACTCTTGATTATACGCATTGATGTACAAGCCTTTTCTTGCAGAAAATGGCACTAGCATAATGCATGTTCTTCTGCGGGGAAACATGTGAGTAGTCAGGTTGTGATACTTTTTTTATACGGAGGTCATTCTGTGCATGTTGCTGTTGCAGAATTTCATGACTCTGCTATAAATTTGTCTTGCCTTTCAGATATTTCAGATTTCCCCACCCTCGATCAGATTCATTTAAGAAATGTAGCCATGCGCCAGGTGCGTGTCGCAGATGTTTTTGTTGATTCTGTGTTTATAATGGTTTATAATCATGGGTTATCGTGATAAGGTCATCCAGCATCATATTGCACTGAAATCGTATTCCTGTTGATGTCGATACAACTCTTGGAAGTAGTTCAATGACTTCAAACCGTTAGTCCACGATTTTCTAAAACACAGCAAAGGAGGAACAATAAACATGTATTAAAATGTAAACAAATACATTGCTGAGTCCGACACCTCGTTCTAACAACTACACTGATCCTGAGGATAAAAGGGTCAAGGCTATGGTTGGAGGTACTGATACTGAGAGATAAACAAGGCACTCCATGATAATAAAATCTTACACATCTTTTGGGGAGTATGAATGATATCCAGTCTAACCTCTTTAGGACGAACACCAAGGGACCGATGGTATTTATTCTGTGAGTTTGTCTTAACCTATTTTATAACCAGTGAATACAATTATTTCTCCAATAGACATACGAATAGATTTCTTCTACAGCGAAAGATTCTAAGCCACACCGACTCATTGACTCGTCTTGTATGAAACAAAAGAGTCACTAGAGAGGTTCTGCAAAACGAAAATGCGTACAAACTTTCGCTCTACATCATGAAGTGCGAAACTTCGCAACTTTGGACGCGAAACTTGCAGGGAACGCGAAATGAACTGTTGTAGGAAATTTCGTGAGATCGGGTCATGGCGTACGTGCACTTGGCCCGCGCAAACTACGAAAATGTGCAGAACGCAAAGTTCGTGCAAAAATTCGTACACACTTTTGCAAGGACTGTCGCGAAACTTCGTTCGAATCAGGGAGTCGTAAAATACCGGGAGGCGACACGCCACACATTTCACCATCCGAGGATTGCCGCACTCGACCCGCGAAATTTGAAGCGTGATTGAAACGTCGTCGTCATCTTCTTTTTCTCAATTGTTTTTGCTATATGCTTCGAGGCTATTCTGGATCTCCAGAGCGAAAGCTGGTTGTTTCTGATACGTACCACGCATTACCTTAGGTTGAGCCGTGGCTTTTAATTTTTTTTGGAAGTTCACTGCTCTGGAGACGACGGAATGTCAAGGTAAGTTATTCACGAAATGTACTCAAATTTGAATTGAGTCAATGCGAATGACACCCTGTTTTCGGACTAGTTCTCCACTAAACACACCATGCCCATGGCCCCTTCATGTTGTCCAAGTTCCATTCTAGGTTTGTGTGAAGTTTCGAGATGAAGTTCGACGATGTACTCACCTTTCCATGGAAGGGAAAAAAAAGTAGCATATCAAACAGAATCCATGCAGTATTTGATGCCACTATCCTCATTCTTCTGCATTCAAAGTGTTTCACATCTATATGGCCCATGAACTGCAAACAATATTTGTCATTTCTTAACTGTTCATAGCTGTTCATAACTGTTCTGAACACATTGCCTTCAGGAAACGTAAGGCCGAGTCGCCTCACCGACTGAGCAAAGTTCTCTGCGACGAAAGTCACACTATCGGCGAATGCACTCAAGGTGAATACCCGTCAATATCCTGTATACTGCTTGTACCGCTTATCACAGTAGCATACACACAAGCACACATACATACACACACACACACACACACACACACACATGCTCGTGCACACACAAGCGCAAAATTCACATATCACTGGTTCAGTTGTTTTTATCTGTGTCGTATTTTGTCTTATACAGAGCTTCCGAGCCACGCCGAGTCACCTGACCAACTGAAGAAGGTTCTGTGCGACGAAAGTCACACTATCGGCGAATGCACTCAAGGTGAATACCCTGTGGACTGCTTATACCACTTATCACAGAAGCACACACACACACACACACACACACACACACACACACACACACAAGCGCAAAATTCACATATCACTGGTTCAGTTGTTTTTATCTGTGTCGTATTTTGTCTTATACAGAGCTTCCGAGCCACGCCGAGTCACCTGACCAACTGAAGAAGGTTCTGTGCGACGAAAGTCACACTATCGGCGAATGCACTCAAGGTGAATACCCTGTGGACTGCTTATACCACTTATCACAGAAGCACACACACACACACACACACACACACACACACACACACACACACACACACACATACACATATCACTGGTTCAGTTGTTTTTATCTGTCTTCTTTTGTCTTATACAGAGCTTCCGACCCAGACCAAGTCACATGACCGACTGAGCAAAGTTCTGTGCAACGAAAGTCACACTATCGGCGAATGCACTCAAGGTGAATACCCGTCAATATCCTGTATACTGCTTGTACCGCTTATCACAGTATCATACACACACAGTATGCGCACGTGCACTGCAGAGCATGTAGTTGAGTTATTAATACTCAGTCAGAACATCAAGAGAATCCATGAAATGCCTGCAGAAAAACAAACAAACAAGGGAAAGCAATTTATTGGAACGCTATGAGAACCACCCCACACCCCATGTTATTGCACATAGCCAGTCGTATCTGCCCGTAGTAATGGTCAGACTTGTGCAAAGGCTACAGGGTTTGATGCACCCTGTGCAAATTCGAACAGGTGAATGCCATAACAAAAATAATCGTATCACCAATGTTCACTTTGTGTTGTATTTTGTCTTATACAGAGCTTACAACCCACGAGGAGAGAGCGGAGAAATGCTCGGCCCCTGGCAATGACTCGAACGCAACAACTGGGGCACCACTGTCTTGGCGTGGTTCAGTACCACCCTCAGTCCGCGAAATCCTGGTCTACGCGGTCCTGGTCTACAGTGATAGTCAGGAACCGTATAGAGCTCGGCTTCCGTCCAGCAAGCTCTACTCCTCTGCTGTGATGGTCGCCAACCAGTTCCTCCAGTCGAGGGAACAAATTAGTGCCATTCAGCTATCGAATTATTTCAACCGAATCAAGAAGCCTGGGAACTACGGAAAATATCTTGGACGCCTGCGGACAACACGCTTCCGCACCATCATATCGTCCGTCGTGGAATCGTGCAACACGCAGTTTCGGAAGGCAGACAGCAAGTCTCTAGATGGCGGCGAGGTGTTGGAGGTGAGGAAAGTCGTTGAGGGTGCTATCAGCCAGTGGGCCTCACCACCCACACCCCCCACACCCTCCACATCACCTACACCTGCTGCCATGGACTTCAATGGCATTGCGGCGCGCATCAACAGCATGGCACGCTGGAAGGCAATTGAAGACGATGACCTAAAGGCACACTATTTTAGCCCAAGGCCTGGCTGTCCCCAGCTAACTGTACTGGTGAAGAGAGACTTCACATTCCAAGTGTTGATGCAAAGTAAGATCGTTGACATGACCAGCATATGTAAGCCTCCGGAAAAGCTTCTCACCTGTGAAGATATAGAGACCGTCGTGTTAGCCATCGAGAGAGCCGATAATTGCCAGGGCTGCAGATACGACAAATACAAAGATTGGATTGAAAACCGGCTCGATGGTGGAACGTTCAAGAATTCGTCTGGTGCGGTAGTTGGAAAACTCGAAACATGTGAACCAACACCATGCATACGAACAGTAGCATGTCCTATACTCGTACCTGCTGGTACTAGTTCTGTTTGCGCTGCTTGTAAAGCTTTGGATGGTACCCTGAGAAGAGGCTTGTCCAGATTTAAAACCCGAGGCACTGAAACAAGCCCACATACCGCCTTCATCCATCTACCCCAAGCCAAGCTTGTTGACATGCTACGTGAGAGGCGGGACAAGACTAGCCTCGTGACCAGACGATTGGAGCGCCTTGTTGCCTCCAGAGAGAGAATGGAGATTACAAAGCACAATGAGGAGTATGCATCCATATTTCGCCAACTAGAACCAGCCATGAATGCAGTGCGTGAGCGTGTTGAGAACCCAACTTGCAAGTGGGCAACTTGCAGAGAAACCTTTTCAACTATAGATGACCTGCAAGTTCATATCCATTTTACTCACCTGAATATCGAGGAGACCTCAACACAACGCCAGCCCCTCTACAAATGCCGCTGGGAATCCTGCAAACACACCGAATTCAAAAACAGGCAGGAATTCAAGTCTCACATCACAAGGCACACTGGACGACAGGAGGATTCGTTCTTTGCCATTCTTCTAGCTGACCAGGCAAAAGCATTATCAACATCACCCGAGCAGATGCGTTGGCATCCAGCTGTACTACGGTGGTGCCTTCAGCAACATTCCCGGTCGCAAAGAACTTATGAAGTACTGAGGAACAGCGGGTTTCTGCGTCTGCCAAGTGGGCGAACACTATTGCGTTATTGCAATTACACACAGCCAGAAACAGGCTGGAAGCCAGCAAAGATGGCAGAAATGCGTCAACTATATGAGAAATTTATCGAAAGTAAACGTGGCAAGGGTGATCGAAGTTTCATCGGCGGCCTCTACTTCGACGAAATAAAAATCAAGGAGGGACTCGTCTGGGACTGTGGCACTAATGATCTAATCGGCTTTGTGGACAGCGAGGAACCAGTTGTTGACAGCAATGATAAACTGGTCGCAACACATATTATGCAGTTCCACTTCAAGTCCCTTTTCTCTAATTTTAATTTCCCCTGTGCATACTTCAATACGAACTCACCCACCTCCAGTTCCATAAACGACATGTTCTGGACTGGCGTGGAGCAGCTCCACAGTTATGGATTCCGGGTACAAGTGTGTTGCTGCGACGGTGCGGCCAGCAATAGAAAGTTCATGATGGACAACCAGGCACTTAATAGTGAAAACCCTGGCTCCACCCTCAACCCGTACGGAAACTGGCCACTCTTTTTCCTGTCAGACCCGACCCACCTCATTAAAAAGATGAGGAACAATTTCTCAAAGAGCGGATACGAGTCATGGTGCACACGCCTCCTAACCATTAACAACAAGCCTATACTGTGGAGCCACATTAAGCAGGTACTCAAGCGGGATCAGGCGAGAATGGTCCAATGCACACCCTTGAGGGAGCAACATGTTCAACTGACGTCCTTTTCTAGGATGAGTAGCCGGCTGGCGTACGACGTATTTAACAAAAGAGTGGAAGAGGACATGCAGGACAACCAGCAACAAGACACAATCTCTACCAGGGAGTTCATGCGTAATGTTAGGGCACTGGGTGAGGTGTTTTCGTCCCATGAGAAGGTTTCGAACCCACGGGACAGTATTCCCCGCGCACTGTCGGCGACAATGCAGTGGTTTGACCAATGGCATACACAAACGGAAAAGGTGCCAAAAGCATTCATCTCACACCAGGTCTACACGGATATGAAAATAACGGCTGGTGGATTTGCAGGACTGGTACAGTTCATAACATGTGACCCCAGAGTGAAACACCTTAACTTGTACATACTTCCCCATCGATTGACACAAGACTTTGTTGAAAACTACTTCAGCCTACAGCGTAGCACAGGCGGTGCAAACCAGAATATGACAGCCAGGGCATACGGCTATCAAGCTAATGCTATTGCTCAAACCCATGTCATACCCAGCAACCTCGGGCGAGCTGCTCTTGATCTGCCCTTGACTATGAGGAATACCAGCAACGCCCCAAGTGCGAGCAAATAGTGCACCAACCATCGTTTCATATCAAATCGCAGGCGGCCATGGTGTAAGTTGCAGTGCATGTAGTGTGAGGACACGAGTTGTGCAAACTGCGTCAAAGCTGTACTGTAATACAAATGACACAAGTGTAGGTAACTCACCCCAGGATGATGCAGAAGCTTCGTCACTTGAGTGATCTTCTCGGCTTTGTTAAATCGGGATCCTGATGTCCCTCCGAGATACTTCATGAGGGTTGACAACTGCAGAACTGTGAGGTTTTCCAATAATGATTCTGGCTTTGATTCTGTTCGGAGGATTGTAGCAGCAGCTTCCACATCGTTCATCCGCAGTTTCTGCCGCACGATGCCTTCAGCTGGTGGGGCCTGAGGAGACGCTTCTTTTTTCTTTTCATGCTGCCTCAAACCTGTGCGCAATGCAATCGACTGGTTAGCCGGCGATAGTCCATACTGCTTCAAAAGCTGCTTCTGCTTGCTCTTCATGAAGTACCGGATAACAAGTTTCAGGAAGTCATAACTGCGATTCTTATCTTGGACTATATCATTAAACAGTTGGCGGATGAGGAGATTTGCTTCCAGGTGCTCTTGCATTGCACTCACGGCGTGTTGCTTGTGTGTGTTGAGCATGCTGGGGAACTGGGAATGGGTTATTAAATTAAGCTGGTGAAACAAGGAGCATGCAGCAGGCACAAGTACAAACGTATGCTTCTGCTCTTCATGCTGTGTTGCAGCTATGGGTGCTGCATAGCCATGGTCACTGAGCGGTTGGTCATTTCTGGGCAACGCTTGATGCTCAGATGTTTGGAGAATGGCTCCAAAATTCTCCAAACAAGGCTGAAGGCTTGTCACGGCATCCTTGCCAAATAAAGGTATAAGCTGCAGCAAGTTGTCGTTGCGACACCTTGCTCCTTCCAGCTCACGCCGCACGGCCACCAAGCACCAACCACCATGGTACTTTTCAGCAAGGTGAGACAAATTGTCAATCACCGGTTCGGGGATGGCTTCAGCAGCTTTGGATGGTGCTATTGACGCTTTCCTGATAGCAGCGGCAGCCGTGGCATGCAGGTAGCTTATCAGATTCGCTAGCACTGCAGATGTAACTTCCAAATCTGAAGAAGAGAAAAGAAAAAGACAACATATAAGGACTGGTGGTTGCAGAGACTGTACTAGTATTCAAAAGCCAGCGTTTGCATACCTAGTCTGCATACCTAGTCAGAAGCCAATTTTTTTCCAACATGCATGCAAAACGCACTGACCTTCACAATTGATTTTCACTTCGGGAATAGCTGTTGCGATGACGGACAGCATTTGTTGCCATGCTTGAGAAATATCAGCACCCTTGCATGCCTTCAGCTGGCACACTTCCTGGCGTAGCAGATTTGCAGTACCTGATGCCTTCTGTAACCGTGTCGTAATAACATGCAGGAATGACTCCGTCGCCTCAGTAACACTCGCCTGTCTGATTGTCAGCAGTTTGCAAATTCCATGGATCACTGCACCTTCCATAGGCCTGTACACCATGATGGCACTACCACTCTTACATCGATCTGCACATAGACAAAGTATGGTTTGAGGATGGAGGTTTACATCATCTACGGTGATGATACATACTAGGTACACACGTAAATTTTCAGGACTTCAATAAATATCCTGTCACAGTGAACAGACAATGCATCGTGGGCAGACTAGGATGAAAAGGATGGTGTCGACCACCTAATTTATCGGGTCAGTTCGGGCACTTAGGTATGCTACAGATTATACATTCGTGTCCACAAGGAAGAGACAAAAACATGTAAACGAAAGAATCTCACCTGTAGCCCACAGCTGAACATCCCCACAACTCAGGTCACCAAGTGAATACGTGGCGTCATCTTCATCTTCCACGGTGGACTCATCACTTTGGCAGTCATCTCTGTCAAGCTCCATCATCCTTTACTTCGAAGGCCAAGGCAGAAAGTATTATTACTTAGAAAAACAAAACGAACTGCTGACACTGGATTCGTTGTGTGCAGGATAATTTTATTGAGTTTTCAAATTTTTTGGACCAAACAGCGAACGCGTCCTTTTGCATGACCTGCGCCGCTTTGACCTCATGGGAAGTCCCTCGCCATGCAGCGCGTGAGGTCTCAGCACTCGTGCCCGAGCTGAGGCAATCATCCGACGCGGTTGTGCATCTCGTGTCGCCTCCCGGTATTTTACGACTCCCTGGTTCGAATTTTCGTTTTGCAGAACTTAGCAACATGACGGCAACTGAAATAGCAACAGAGAAAGTACGATACATGTACTGCACATTCTTGCAGGTACTACAGGTACTACCAAGAGTACGGGGGGTTATGTACTCTTGGTACTACAAACAGATTGCAGATCGTAATTCTTGCTTTGGCGGCACGAAACTTTATTTGGGGCAGTGCAATCTCGGCAGTACTAGTACTCACTCAAACAGCCCAGACTCGAGTAAACAAAAGCAATCATACAAGTACGAGATTTTCACGAGACGACACTGCACCCATTGGCTTGTTTCGTATGAAGCAAACAAGTTACTGAACCTCTCCACAATGGAGATTTTCCCTGATATGCGAATTTATTTGGCAAACTCGGTCAATGAGTCCTTGAACCTTTCCCTCCAGATTGGGAACTGCCAACGATAGTATGCCACTGACCAGTGCCTTACTTGTAACGTACTAATGTGCAATGAATATGAGTATTTTGACAACACATCTAACATAAGCCTTACCGTCGAGAAGGGGAACTCGCGTTCTTCGCACACTGTAGGCAAGGGCAAAGAGATAAAAATGGATCTAAATCCGAATAAAATCAGCACACGTTTCCGTAAATGAAAGGGTGAGCATAAGCAAATGAATCGAAGGAAACTGGTCAACTCAGAGATCACCTGTCATTGAGTATGCCGTAAAAGGAGGCCTCGGCAGCGGAAAAGCTAAATTTAGAAAGGAGATCCTGTCAGCTTTTCCATTATTTATTGCATTCCGCCCAAAATCAGCACACTTTTCGTAAATGAAAGAGTCAACACAAGCAAATGAATCAAAGGGAACTGGTCAACTCACCTGTCATTGAGTAATATTCCGCGAAAGGAGGTCTCAGCAGCACCGAAACGAAATAAGCCAGGCCAGGAGACGAAATATCCGAAGCAGCTCATGCAAGAAGCAGTTCCAAAGAAGGAAGTTCCTCGTGCACAGGTGCATGCACATCCGAAAAGGCAACAACAAAAAGTCTGCAATGCACACGCATGCGGCCATCCAGCCGCGCGATGGTAGGAGCCATGGAGTAGCTCCGGCCTCCCTGCAGGACCAGGTACCGAGCATCTTACGTAGAAACTTACGTAGCCACGTAGACAACGTGTCTGAATAGCGGTGTCGTTAGGTAGCGCCATGTGAACACAATAATAGAAAAGCTGACAGGATCGCTTTTCTAAATAAGCCTTACCGTCAAGAAGGTGAACTCGCGTTCTTCGCACACTGTAGACAAGGGCAAAGAGATAAAAATGGATCTAAATCCGAATAAAATCAGCACACGTTTCCGTAAATGAAAGGGTGAGCATAAGCAAATGAATCGAAGGAAACCGGTCAACTCAGAGATCACCTGTCATCGAGTATTCCGTAAAAGGAGGCCTCGGCAGCGGAAAAGCTAAATTTAGAAAAGAGATCCTGTCAGCTTTTCCATTATTTATTGCATTCCGCCCAAAATCAGCACACTTTTCATAAATGAAAGAGTCAACACAAGCAAATGAATCAAAGGGAACTGGTCAACTCACCTGTCATTGAGTAATATTCCGCGAAAGGAGGTCTCAGCAGCGCCGAAACGAAATAAGCCAGGCCAGGAGACGAAATATCCGAAACAGCTCATACAAGAAGCAGTTTGGCAAAGGAGAAAGTTCCTCGCGCATGCACATCCAAACACGAACTGCACTGCAACACAATAGAGAGAGAAGCGATCCTGTCAGCTTTTCTATTATTGTGTTCACATGGCAGAAAAAACGACATCGCTATGCTACGTAAGTTTCTACGTAAGGTGCTCGGTATTTCACTTAGGCTACGTAAGTCTCTACGTAAGGTGCTCGGTATTAGATCTACCAACGGGTGGTAGCCGTGTGCTGTGCACGTGCACGGCAGACATTGTGCATGCAGTCCGCGGATCCGTGTTCGGATGTGCATGCGCGAGGAACTAATTTACTTCCTTCTTTGGATCTGCTTCTTGCATGAGCTGTTTCGGATATTTCGTCTCATGGCCTGGCTTATTTCGTTTCGGCGCTGCTGAGACCTCCTTTCGCGGAATATTACTCAATGACAGGTGAGTTGACCAGTTGCCTTTGATTCATTTGCTTGTGTTGACAAGTGTGCTGATTTTGGGGCGGAATGCAATAAATAATGGAAAAGTTGACAGGATCTCTTTTCTAAATTTTGCTTTTCTGCTGCCGAGCTGCGAGGCCTCCTTTTACGGAATACTCGATGACAGGTGATCTCTAAGTTGACCGGTTTCCTTCAATTCATTTGCTTATGTTCACCCTTTCATTTACGGAAACGTGTGCTGATTTTATTCGGATTTAGATCCATTTTTATCTCTTTGCCCTTGTCTACAGTGTGCGAAGAACGCGAGTTCACCTTCTTGACGGTAAGGCTTATGTTAGATGTGTTGTCGAAATACAACTGTACTCATATTCATTGTACATTGGTACGTTACAAGTAAGGCACTGGTCAGTGGCATACTATCGTTGGCAGTTCCCAATCTGGAGGGAAAGGTTCAAGTACCAATTGACCGAGTTTGCAAAATAAATTCGCATATCAGGGGAAATCTCCATTGTGGAGAGGTTCAGTAACTTGTTTGTTTCATACGAAACAATCCAATGGGTGCAGTCTCGTGAAAATCTCGTACTTGTATGATTGGATTTGTTTACTCGAGTCTGGGCTGTTTGATTTGTGAGTACCGCCGAGATTGCACTGCCCCAAATAAAGTTTCGTGCCGCCAAAGCAAGAATTACGATCTGCAATCTGTTTGTAGTACCTGTTGTGTAAGAATGTGGAGTACATGTATCGTACTTTCTCTGTTGCTGTTTCAGTTGCCGTCATGTTGCTAAAGAAAGTTTCAGTAGAGAGGTTCTACAAAACTAAAATTCGAACGAAGTTTCGCGACAGTCCTTGCGAAAGTGTGTGCGAATTTTTGCACGAACTTTGCGTTCTGCACATTTTCGTAGTTTGCGCGGGCCAAGTGCACGTACGCCATGACCCGATCTCACGAAATTTCCTACGACAGTTCATTTCGCGTTCCCTGCAAGTTTCGCGTCCAAAGGTGCGAAGTTTCGCACTTCATGATGTAGAGCGAAAGTTAGTAGACCCGGGTGCTCGAATGAGACACAGGGTACCAAAACAGAAAAACCCTGAAATTGTACCTAAACTTGTTCCGATTTCGTTTAGTTTTTACAAATACCATTAACATACGGCCCGCTAACGGTATGCCAAATTTCAGAGCTGCCCTGTAAACGCTTTTTGAAATACTCGCGACCCACTTTTTGCTGGGTCCTTGATTCGAGGATATGGGTCTCCTGTACGGTGCTGCCAAAGACCTGCTGAATCTGCGGCTCCACTGACCATCTTGCTCTCAAAAATGAAGTAGTAAGTTACTACTCCCTGCCCTCAACTGCCACACCAAGCGTAGACGATGGTAGACCCGTGTGCTTGAATCGGAGACGATCTGACGAGTTCGCTGTTTCTGATTCGAGCACCCAATTTTCCAATAAAAAATCCGAAGGAAATACGACAATTTTACTGCGTACTGTAGCTTGTGTTGTAGCGCACCCAGGTTCTGAATTCCTGCTGGGTGGGTCAAGCCAGACTCTCTTCCCTGTTCCATCGCCTCTCCAAAAGTATATTCTGACATTGTTGAGATTTACAGATGAGAAATTTCACACCTGTCAAATCGTTTCTGATTCGAGCACCCGGGTCTACGCATTTTCGTTTTGCAGAATCTCTCTAGTGACTCAATTGTTTCATACGAGACGAGTCAATGAGTCGGTGTGGCTTAGAATCTTTCGCTGTAGAAGAAATCTATTCGTATGTCTATTGGAGAAATAATTGTATTCACTGGGTAGACAAACTCACAGAATAAAATTAATACCATCGGTCCCTTGGTGTTCGTCCTAAAGAGGTTAGACTGGATATCATTCATACTCACCAAAAGATGTGTAAGATTATAATTATTATTGTGGAATGCCTTGTTTATCTCTCAGTACCTCCAACCATAGCCTTGCCCCTTTTATCCTCGTGATCAGTGTAGTTGTTGGAACGAGGTTTTGGACTCAGCAATGTATTCGTTTACATTTTAATTCATGTTTATTGTTCCTTCTTTGCTGTGTTGTTTTAGAAAATCGTGGACTAACAGTTTGAAGTCATTGAACTACTTCCAAAAGTTGTATCGGCATAAACAGGATTACCATTTCAGTGCAATATGATGCAGGATGACCTTATCACGATAAGCCATGATTATAAACCATTATAAACACAGAATCAACAAAAACATCTGCGACACGCACCTGGCTACATTTCTCAAATATATCTGATCGAGGGTGGGGAAATCTGAAATATCTGAAAGGCAAGACAATTTTATGACAGAGTCATGAAATTCTGCAACAGCAAGTTGCAACATGCACAGAATGACCTCCGTATAAAAAAAGTATCACCACCACCAGACCACGACAAACATTATTATTATTATTATTTAAATTTTGATTAGGGCAATCCCCACAGGCCTAAGGCCTTGTTACAGGGTACCCTATGTGATCACGTACAGATTTGCGGAATAGTGAAAGCGAGGAGCAAGAGCGAATGTCAGCTGTTTCCCCGCCGAAGAACATGCATTATGGTAGTGCCATTTTCTGCAAGAAAAGGCTTGCACATCATGCGTATAATACGGTATTGATGTGAAGGCCATCATTTAC